ATCGAGCAACAACTGCACCACTTCAAAGTGGCCATTGAAAGCTGCACTCATCAAGGCGGTGAATCCATCTGCCATTACCGCATTCATGTAAGCCCCAGCCTCAAGCAGCAACTGCACCACTTCAAAGTGGCCATTCTGAGCTGCAGCCATCAAGGCGGTTCTTCCATCTGCATTCGCCGCATTCTTGTCAGCTCTAGCGTCGAGCAACAATCGCACCACTTCGAAGTGGCCCCGTTGTGATGCAAAGTAGATAGGTGGATGGTCGGTTTTGGCACCTGCACAATTAGGATCGAGTGGTTTCTGAAGTAAACTTGTAACTTCCTCAACTTGATTCCCCTTACACGCAAGGAGTAGTGCTTCCCAAAGGGCCTCCTCAGGCGCACAGAAATCGAGGATTACCAACTGCACACTTGGTAGCTGTCTGACAGGCATATCATCCTGTAGCTCACCCATGTCTTGACACAGCAGTCTTTGTCGAAATCTTGAGTATCCAACCCGAGTGGCCAGAAGCTTCTTCAGATCCTTCACATGTTTTCCACTCTCCACCATGTAGCCCAATTCCTCCTCGTGAAGCTGGGTCACAGTTGCACCTGAGAGCGTTGTAATCTCCATTGCTCTTTCACCTTTTTGGGGTGAGCTAATGGCTTAAAGGGCCTCCTGAAGCATGGGTATGAGCCGAAAGGGCTTGTGTGTCTCTGTGTTTTTTTCTCTTTGTTTTTCTTTTTGTCCTTGTCTGTTTCTGTCTCTTTCTCTTTCTCTATTCTGTTCTCTCTTCTCTATTCTTTTCTTCTCTTTTCAGCTCTTTTCTCTCTTCTCTTCTCTTCTCTTCTCTTCTCGTCTCGTCTCTTCTCCTCTCTTCTCCTCTCTTCTCCTCTCTTCTCCTCTCTTCTCCTCTCTTCTCCTCTCTTCTCCTCTCTTCTCCTCTCTGCTCTTCTCTTCTCTTCTCTTCTCCTCTCCTCTCCTCTTTTCTTATCTCTCTCTCTCTCTCTTCCTTACCTCCTTCTCATACAAATGCTGACTGTGCAAGTCAAGTGTTATATTCCGCCATGAGGCCTTGAGCTATAGGGAAAGGTATTGCGAGAGTGGCTAGGCAGTCTCTTGGTGGGCCCAAACGAAACACTACACTTCGTGCGGTAGGGAAGGGGAGATTCACCATGGTAGCGGAGCAACCGACTCCGCGTACTTGCCACCCTTGTCAGTAGTTGAAAGAAGTTAAATTTGGTCAACATTGGTTCACGAAAAACACAACTCTTTAGATGTGTGGTTATGGTTTTTATGCTGAATTGTCCCTATTGGTGAGTCTGGGTGGTTCTGGTGCCCTTAGGTCTAGGCGGCCTTTTGCGCAAATACATGTTTGAGGCTGCAGACTGAAACCGTGTGATAGAGAACCCGGAGAAGCTTTTCAACTGATGCGGCATTCATGTTGTCGCACCAGGTCCAAGAACTTTACGCGGTGAGCCGAGCAATTGGACCGTCCCTGAGAAATGGTGATGGTTTGGGTTGAGGTTTTCAAGTACACAGAATGTGAGTAAGAGTGTCATTACGATGTCCAAATGAGGGTGGTCCCCAAGCCCATCGGACAGAAGTTCCGGCCACAATGGAAAAAAAACGCATCTGGAGATCTGTACCGAATGCCGAAGAACTGCTGTTGAAGCAAGAGATCCCACACCATTCGTGGTTCCAGTATTTGTCTTCCCTCAACATATTGCACCTCTACACCCCCAAACCCAAAAAGCCCTCAATTTAAGGTGTTTTTGTTGCTCTTTTCCTTCTCCATCCGTCTCTCAACTGGACCCAGAACTGGCCAAAAGCCCACACACCTCCATCACTCCCATGTCAGTCTCATCTTCCCTCCACCACTGTCACCTGCCGTCCCATGCACCAAACACCCCCCCCCACCGACCCCACGCCTTGCTCCTTGGTGGGCCGGTCCGACGTGCCAATCCAATCGTCCGAGGTGCCCAGCCACACCTGCCAGGTCCGGACCGGACCCCGAGAACGCGGAGGCGACGTGGGCGGAATCGTCGTCGGTCGCCTGGAGGTCCGAGATGTAGGACAAGGGAGTGAAGGAATAGGTGATCTTCAGCACCATGCCATTGCCCCTGAAGCTGTAGCTTCCTGATTTCAGCGAGAGAGTCAAAGCGAACCTCACAGTGAGTGATGTGATTGAGATGTGATTGAGATTATGTGGCTGAGTTTGGCTCCAAGGAGTTTGGGCCTTTGCACCTAAACTTGCGCTGTGGCTGTGGCTTGACGTGTCGACTTCTTTTTGTAGATGGAACTCGTGGAACTCGCACGTCTCCATGCGAACCCGTGAACCCCAAATCGATTCGCATCGATCGAGGCTCATGTTTGTTTGTTTGTTCCCGGAACCCCAAATCGATGTCTTATGTCCTTGCTCCCGCCGTGCCCTCTGAATCACAGCACTCCCCGCTGAACGTGCGCACACAGAAACTACCGTGATCCGGCCGCTCGTCTTCTGACGATTCGCTTCGTGAGAGAAAAAACAATATATGTCCTTGCTCCTACGTTCGTTTGATTTGGAAGTGCACACATATATAACATAAAGGAAATCAAAGGTGTGTTCCTGCATGTCATTTCTTCTGGTTTGCAGGCTGCCCCTTGGAAGTGGCTTGATCACATCGTTTGACAAACAGAACTTTGATTGTGATCGACAAAACGATGCCAACCACCTGACACTTGCACGAACTTTGAGAGCAACACCTTGCTACTATTTCAACCGATTGGCAAGGTTTACAGAGCACGATGTGCCAAACATCTAGTACTTGTAATAGTTGCTTGTTGGAAAGTCCCCGGTATCTCCAAATCAGCGTTCAACATTTCCAAACCTGTCCGCACCATGAGCGGGACCCTCTGTATCCGGCTTCATCCATCGCATAAAAGTTGAGCGAATGGATAAGTCCACACCCAAATCTACCAAATCTGTAGAGAAGGTCGTGAGACAATGCCCTGGTGGCACTTCCTCCATCTACGTCAGGAAGGTCTACATCAAGCGGGGTGGTTGATGTCTCGGCCCATGTCGATCCAAGTGGCGCAGCACTTCGGCCTGATCGGCCGTGTCTCGGGCAACGCGTCCCATTCCACCCACATGCGAGCGACTGACAGCACTTCTATGTCAAGGACATCAAACACTTCATTAAGGACATCAGGACCTTGGAGTGGTCACCCTTTCTAGGAGTGGGGTTCATTGGGGGGGCTTCCCCGAACCAAAAAAATGTACAAGAACATGATGTGACCGTCCGGAAGTCCTTACAAAAAACACATATATATATATATATACGAAACGATGTTCGTCATGTCTTCCATGTGGCAATGGTGATCCCGTGCAATGGTGATCGGGAGTCAGCCTTTCGAGGCATTATGGATCTAAAAGATTCGTTTTAAACCCGCCTCTAAGTATGAACTCAAGCACCTCAGTCGGTGTCGGGGTCTTCCGCCATGTTGACAGTCAGGCAGTTTCAACAGTTGGGAGGGAAAATTGACTGAACGGGCCATCCTAATCAGAAGAGATAAGGAGAGCCCAGACACAAAGTGGGATAGTAGGCTTTAAAGTCTGAAGTTCCCTTTTGCCAGCATTCTTCCCAATTAACAATTCCTCCATCCGCAAACAAACAGACTCTGACTCTGCGCCTTGGGCACACCATCCACACTGAGCTGGCAGCGTGTGGCCATGCTGCTGGTGCCCTTGGAACTCTCCAGAGAGACTTCACCTCGGCGTGATCTCACTGTTTTTTCCCACTTCCCCGTTCAGCTTGGGAACCTCCGAATCTCGGGAGCACCAAGGTATTTTAGCAGGATTCATGTCAGTTCCCCAAGCTGAAGCTGGTTCATTTCAGTTCCCCAGGCATCTTGGGATTCCTGTAGGAGTTGGTTCATATCAGTTCCCCAAGCTACCCTGCTACGACACGAGTCATACGAACCAGGGGACATGTGAGGTCTTCACCACCCTCCGTACGGTCGGTACACTTGGGTCGGTCCAAGGTCAACCACTGGAGTTACCATGATCTAACTGCTAGACTGCTACACATGTCAGGTTCAAACCCCCACTAAGTCACTGTAGTGACATGAAATAGCTCCAAAGCTCTCTTTGCAAAATCTATTGGAAATCATGTGTCAACGAAATTCATGCGTTTCTGCGCACCAACTGTAACTTATGGCTCACTAATTGTTTCTTTAGCATGCTTTAACCTTTCAAGTAAAAAGGGTAGCAAATTTTGCCTGAATGACCATCCTCTTCGGGTCCTGTTCCTCATACCCTACGGATGTCAAGTAGACATCAAACTGACCCAAACCCTTATCCCTACCGTCCATCAGCCTGAAGGACCAAATGAGCACATGTGATTGCAAGGGAGGCCAAGCTACCATAGCTAGTCTTCTGGTAATTGTTGTACTCTTGACCCATATAGTTTGGGTCTATCCTAAGACCGGTAAAAGTGGATTTTTTCCGCTTTCTGTCTTATCTGGACACGTATTGTGCCCACAAACAACTAGTCAGCTGCAGCGTACTAGTAGCCTAATCTATTGCTAATTGGCATGAAGCTCAACTCGAAGCCGAACGAATATTGCTCACAAGTGTTTGAAATGGTATGTGGAGCACATCTGGTGCCGCTAATGGTATACCCTTGACTCTCCAAGGATTTGTGAAATTTCTGGCAGGAGGGTTGACCTGCTTCAAATACCTGTCGATCTCCAAATATACTTCAGTTCCTTTAATGAGATGAGGGATTCCATGCACAGCAGGGTACCAACCACGGATGCCAAGCCATCCAAGTGTATCCGACCGTTTGAATCGTTGACGGTGTCCACGAAAGATGGGAATGCCCTGCGATTCGAGCCATGTAATGCAGAGGTTAAAGTTTTTGGTCTGCGTACTACCCATAGGTACTTTAGCCAACAAATCAGCACGAACAGATTGGTCAGCTAAATCAAAATGGTAACAGTGGATGCTGATGGTTAGTAAAGGCCTCGTTCCAAAATAGTGATAATTCTTTACTGACTGTTACAGGTAAGGAAGGTAAGTTCGGACAGACCCAAAAAGTCATATACGAACACTTGTTACTACTAGCTTCTTGTTACTACTAGTAAGGCACTTGTTACTAGTAGCGTGGCACTTGTTACTACTAGCGAACCTTGTTACTACAAATCCGTCCAACGTACCAACCCTCCCCCGTCCAACTCTCTCACAGGCTCCCCGGCGGCCCAGGGTCGCCAACTGCCCGTCCACCTCCGCCGAGGCAGGATAGAATCCGTCGAGTTTGGGCCAAACAGGTTTGGTTGGAGACACCCCAAACCTATATAATACTTAGGTCTCAAAAACTGATACCATCCTATAAAGGTTGTTCTAAGAACAAGGTGGTGATAAATGCTCTAGTTGATAATGGTTCATGAATGGTGCATATTTGATCATATTTGTCTGGTGGTTCATCTCGGATCAGCTGCTCAGGTGGTTCCTGATGCAGTGTGAACCTTTTGGCCCCACCATTGTTCCAGAAGTCAAGACGCCTTGGATTCTCATGCAATGTGAAAAGGAAGAAAGGCCCCTTTTTCATGAGGGGTTCCCACGAGTCGTCCCCCTTCTGTTCGAGACAACGCCACCCCGGGTTCGGGGTCCCCGTTGGGACAGACCGGGCGCAGCGGCGCGTTTGGGGCGCCTTGATGGCATATTCCAGCTTGTTGCTGCCGTAGGTGAGCTTCGTCCAAGCGTCGTTGGGGCTATAGGAGCTGCCCATGGTGCCAAGCCGCTCGGTCCAATGGGCTGAGTAGTAGAAAGGTTGTCCCAGGCCTTGGGCCGCGATGGCCGCGATGGCGATCCACTCGATGACACCACCTGTTGGGTCTTCGTACAGTCGGATGCCCTTCTGGAGCGCCGTTGGGCCCTTCGTTAGAGTGCACTCTTCCAAAAGGAACATCGCCCCCTGGGAAGGATGGTATGGGGGAGAGGGCTGAGTTAACATGAACTGGTGGCGTGTGGAAAGAATGATTGGTGAAGAATGGGGGGGAGAGCTCAATGCTGGCGCATGTTGGTAGCTTCATGGTCCCAAAAGTTCCTCACAAGCACTTGTGACCCTTTAACCAAATGTCCGCCAAATGCTGTACGTGCACCACAGTCATCATCAACTACGACCATGTCTTGTTTGTTCCATTTTTTCTGGACCTTTTTGGTCCACTTCAGCACCCCTGTCACCCTCAACCGAGCATGGATACCAGCCACAATGCAAACCAGATTTGTCTATATTGGTAGGCCACCTGGGAGTGCAGACCTTCGTTCTGCAAGACTTGGAACCGTTGGATTTTCCGGGTTCACTGCGAGATTTGGACTCCCAAACAACTCGAGTGCAGACTGAGCCGGGGGAGTGCTGAGCCGGGGTTCCTTTGGTTTCCATCTCACGAGCTGGTGCTGAAGGCGAAGTTTTGGCCAGGGCACTTCCATCCTGCATCACGGCGATCTTCATGTACCGCGACTCGAGCACCTCGGGTCGCACAGAGGTCGCACAGGGGGTAGCACTTGAGGGCGCTTTGGGCTGAAACATGTTGCAGGGAGAAGGGCTCCCGTGTCAAGTTCTAGGGCAGGAGGTTGGTAAGTACTTGTGCAGAAAGTATATCCTCATCAAGTATGCAAGTTTACGGGATTTGCTCAGAACCCTGGTAATGAAACCTAGATCTATAGGAATCCAAAAGTGATTCCAAACTAAGGAAATCGATTCCCCGAAAGAAAAGGTCATTGTCCACCGATTTCGGAGTCGAGTCGAGTCGTTTCGGGATTCACCTGATGCGATGGACTCCTTCACGTGATTCAAAATGTTGACCCAACCCTGTCCGGAAGCTCTTCCCATCCACTTACCAATGACCCTTCCCAGTCGAGCTACCCCCAGTCCCTCCAGCGTGGTCGTGCTGGTGGTGGCCGGTATCGTCGGCACCGGCAGTGTGGCCACCGTCCCCAGCGTCGTCGGCGGCGGCGGCGGTGTCGTCGCCGGCGTGGTGGGCAGTGTGGCCAGCGTGGTGCTCTCGAAGGTCGTGGTGGTCGTGGTGGTCGTCGTGGTCGGAAGTGCTGCGTGGTCGGGACAAGGTAGGAAGCACAATGAAGTTCAATGAAGCACATGAACCAAGACAACAGCCTGACTGTGTCTCAAAAGTAGGAAGACACTCCCAAAAAAGGCCTCCGCTAGAAGGAGAGAAAATGTCCATCCTTTCCCACTTACCACTGTTGAATGCCATGAATGGTCCTTCACAACGCACCACCGTTCTCCCCCGCAGCAAGCCCGTATGGGGAGTGTGGCCTGCGGATGTCCCTCCCGGGCCTGCGGCGGCCACCTCTTCACAGACTCTTGCCAAGTGTGACAACTGCGAGGCGGCCGCTGCCTGGGGGAGACGTCAACACCGGACCTTTCTCAACAGGCGGCCGCTGCCAACGGGTGTGGCGCAGCTGGTCGGTTTTGAGAGAGATCTTTGCATGGCGATAGCGCCACACCAAAAGTGACGGCAGGTGGTTGAGGTGATATCATGCACATGGCTTCCGAACTGAAATGAAACATCTTATCTTGAGAGACTGATGCAAGAACGCAACCCTGCTCTAGCTACAGGGAGCTGGAGGACACCCTAAGCATCTTGGATCAACTCTCTTCAGTGATCCAGAAACCCAGAGAGCTTCCCAGTCACTATACCTACAGTGTCTTACGTGTGCTTCTGTCATGTCAACACATTTGTCAGTAAGTCACTACAACGCGTCAGTGAGTCGGCCATCAGACTTTGCAATGACTTCTCTCAACAACTTCACTCGGTCAGAGGTTAAGCTCAACTGTGCTTGGTTTCGGACCTCTCCCGGATCCCACTGAGATGTTCCAATCTCCATGGAACCACTGCGGTTCTTAGCCTAGTCCCGTTTCTAAAGCCTTGGTTCTTTCGACCAAGTTCAGAAGGTCTCACACAAGAAGTGTTTCAGAGTTGCAAAAAGAATGAAGGAAGAAAACAAAAACTAGAAACACATCAAATGACAGGCTAAACTGCAAATGGAAGAAGACACCCATTTGAATACCCTCGCACCGTCAACAGCCCAGGTGCCGCATAGAAGATGCTCACAGTCTTCCTCTGGCCCACCGCCAGCGAGCCCAAGGACACCTAACGGCCGATGTCACGGTGTCCGGCTGCGGAGTCCACGGTCCACAGCGGATGAAGACTGTTTCAGAAAGGCCGGCATGGGATGAACATGAATTGATTAAAACATCACATGCGCACTTCTGGCTGGAAAGCCACTACGAATCTTGAATCATCTAGCACGTATTTCTAATTTTAATCTGCTTGCCTCTCTGCGTCCTTGCAAGCATCTGCGAAGAAGAGCGTCGCCCAAGACTAACAGCTTCCCGTGGACGGTGATGGATTCCAACGGTTCAGCGCCCGTCCACCTCCATGTTCGCTCAACTCATCCTAAGAAACCATCCTAAGAAACCTTTCCAGGGTTCATGGATCACGTATTGCCTAGAGGCCATGCCTCAAAACCTGGGTCATCCTGTCAGTCGGTCGTCCCTACCATATTTTACGGGGCATGCGGGCCCCCGATGGTCTTCACCTTCGCCTGGCCGGACCGTGTCCGGTGACCATCGGACCTGACCATCCAAACGCATTAATCCAAAAGAACAACATAGTCTAATACCTGCAGGCCCCTTTTGAGCTACAGCCGTTTCAATCATAGATGCTTGGTCGGGGACGATCCAAATTTACCGCCTTGGACACGATTTCTTTCGCCGTGGCACGTAGATGGCATACGCGCCGTCGGATTGTGAGGTGGCCAACTGTGAACCAGTAGCGGCCTCCGGTGAATCACGCCGAGGTGAATCTTTCCGGGTGACACAAAAATGCGTGGGAGGTTGACCTTCCTGGTAGTCCATTCTCTTCATTTGTGGGGTGTCAATCAGGCTTTTGGGAGCTTTGACTGCACAGCCATTTTCCAAAAGGTCTCTTTCCGGTGTCCCTTCCCCCAACACCCATTGCTGGCCCTGAGCTGCCGGCAGAGACGGCGCTCCATTCATGTTGGCCCTGTAAGATGATGGAGTGGGTGTCATAGTGAGGCGAAAAGAGGTAGAGGCCCTCATTGCCTGCCGACTGGCTGACACACTCAGGTCGGCCACATGGGTGGGTCCATGAGCAAAGCACCTGGTCGGGTCCAGACCGGGGGTCCAGACCGGCCGCTGCTGGAGTGGAGCTGAGCCGATGGGAAGTCTTTCACTCATTTCACCTGGCTTTTTCATCGAATCAGTGAGGTTTTGAACCCCACAATTGGATCAATGAGAATCATTTTCCTCACTCACAAGTTCTTGGGTCAATTTTCCCATCAGTCTCATCCCTCAGTCATCCTCAGTCCAATGTTCACAAGCTCTGCTGCGATCTTGCAGCTGGTATAAGGAGCCCTATGTCCAGTGGAAAGGATACACCGAAAATACCTATGATATTTGAGGCTTTTCTCCCAAGAAACGCGCGAAACGCCAAATCATCGCCTGACATCACCCGCAGGATCTTCCCATGCGGTGCGGCCACGAACTGCCCTGCAGCGAAGTAGCCTGGCCGGAGAGGCAGCCTGGGGATCTTAGAGAAAAGCAGAGGCAGAGTATTCCCCCAGATTGAAACTTTGCACAAAGCTTGTACACTATTTGAAAAGTGGATGGCACTGATCCGGCACCATTTAGTTGTTTGCGTTTTGGTTTTGGCCCCCTTTCTAAGACAGCCTGCAAAAAATTAGTGCATGGCACTGGAGGGCTACAAATGAGGTGTGTGAGCCAGTTATTCTGCCTCGTTTTGAGACAAGATAGATAACACCCCCTCCGGGCCAGACTTAAGGAAAAAAAACAACATAAAAAATCAACTTTGTCAAAGTACATGGCGCAAGTAGGCCCAAAACGTCATAGATTCAACGCCATGCATTTTCAAAAAATTGTAGAACGCAGACAAGCGACTTGTCACACCCCTCACCCCTTTTCACCATCCAACATCCCAGGCTCCCTCTGAAAACGTACGCTGTCTCTCCCCCATTGTCAATTACCCCTTTGAAGACCCCCACACCGAAGGGGGGTACCATCCGGCGCGGCCCACCGAGTCCCCACGAACCGCGCGCCTTGATCCTTGCTGGGCCGGTCGGAGGTTCCGATCCAGTCGTCCGAGCTGCCCAACCACACCTGCACCGAGCGGGCGGGCGGGCACGCTCGGGGCACCGGCAAGTGCAGAAATCGCATGGCCGCTGCCGGTGAGTTGCAGACGACTCAGAACTAGGCCTCTGCTCAATGGATCCAATGCAAGCTACTTCCGTGAGCCGCCTTCTACCTATGAACCAACACGTGTTTCAGCTGGACCAGCTGTTCCAGCTCAACAACAGGGCAATCAAAAAAGCGTTTTGGCGCTTGGGGTGACCGGAAAAGGAAAGGAAAGGTGGGTCTACTGTGATGGTCTACTCAGTTTACATCAACGCCTGTAGATCCGAGACGGCATCCAAGGCTGTGAAGGAGTAGGTGATCTTCAAGATCATGCCATCCCCCACAAAGCTGTAACTGCCTCCATCGCAACAAGGCAAACATGGGTTGGTGGGTCTCTTTTGGAGGTGTTTCGTCTGACCAAGAGGAGTTGACTCAAGGGGAAAATGGCTGCGTTTTCTCATGGTTTCTCGTTCTGAGACGGAGTTTGGGGACCCCTCCGAGAATCCTGGGCATTCGCTACTAGTAACAAGGGCATTGCTACTAGTAGCAAGAAGCTAGTAGGTTGGAGGCCATCGCTACAAGGGTGGAGGCCATTGCTACTAGGTTGGAGGCCATTGCCACTAGTAGCAAGAAGCTACTAGTAACAAGGGCATCGCTACTAGTAACATGGGCATTCGGGAAGTCAAAATCTCTGGAGCCGCGAGGTTTGCTCGACTCATCCACGACTTCGTCGTCCAAGTCCGAAGTCTGGTCGTGGGAAACGCATGGGTTTCATTTCGTACCTCACGCTTGCGACGAATTCGTGAGCCAGCTACAAAGTTGCAGCAAAGAGCACCACCTCAATCTCTAGACAGAGTCTACTGAGTGAAAACAAGACCCTAATATATTGTTGCTCACATGGCTGCGTCTCAACATAGGGTCACCACAAAAAATAACGAATCAAGAGGAACTGGCTATTGACATTATATGTATATATGTATATGGCAGTATAGCCATAGCCAATCCAACGGAGGAGTCATTTTCGTCTTATTCGGCCCTCGGAGCTTGGGTCCGAGACGGAAGCGGTCAGCGTCGTCATCGAACCAACACCCCGAACTGACCGGTCCCACGGCGGTCCCTCGAACGAACAGTCAAAGGCTTCACCGAGGAGCGCAAGACTTCCGCCTGGAGGCCGTGGAGGACTTCAAGGGCCAGGAGGCTAGGCGGCTACTAGTAGGGGAGGAGGCAGGGCACGGCTTTGAAAGCCGATGTGGTAGAAAAATTGTGTCAAAATAGACGGTATGCGACCTGAAAATGTTTTAAACCTCTGAGAGCACCAATCCACTCATGGCAGCCATGAGGCAATGCAAAATGGCCAGGAAATGTTTGGCAGATCAGTCTTACGGAAGTCCTATTTCCTTGCCTCGTAATCTAATGCTGTGGGAGTAGGAAATGGCCCATTGCTGGCCATGTGTCTTTTATGTGGTTCACATGTTGTGATAGGGCAATTTTGATCATTCTTGCCAATTTCACAAAAAATATATATATATATACTGTAACCAACACATCACATCATATCACATCTCTCAAAAGCAAAGGCCACCCGTCCCGTTGCAGCCATCCGTTCGGCCTTGGGCAAACCGAGGACTGACAGCTGTGACCGGGTCGCCATCCCTTCGCGGCCCTCGGAGCTTTCCATGATCGCCTCCCCTCAGAGCACCGATCGCGGTCAGGTGAGGTCGCGGTCAGGTCCGAAGTTCAGAGATTGACCGGTGACCAGGGTGGCTGTTCAGAGACTTGCAAACGGGGAGTTGGAGGGCCTAGCTTTACTAGCTTTGGGAAAGAAAAGGGAAAGGAGTCCATGATGCTCCATCTGTCCGAAGTCTTGCTCTTTTGTTTGGGTCTTTCAAAGATTGAGATACAACATTCAAGGACACCGGTGACCTCAAACCCGGTGTGGGGGTGCGGGGGGTCGTGGGGGTGAGGCATTCTGTTGATGGATAAGTCCTGCATCAGATGCGGAATCTCTGGCAAATAGCAAGCGGTTGGCAGCATGATGAGCCTATTCCCAACCGATATTCTTTGGAGGGACAAAAATGAGGTTCCGGGTAGGGGGTGGAGGAGTGATAGAAATGATTCTGGGGATCCCTACTACCTCAAGTGGTGCAACCTAGGAGGTGGGGTCAACCAGTGAGCTGGCACCTAGGAGGGGGGGGGTCAATTTCTGGGGGTTACATTCAGAGGTTCCAGAACGCGTTTCAACTAGCATGAATGGCAAGATTCACACCACGGCTTCAGGCAGAATACCAGCACACCTGCAGAAATGGTGAAGAACCGTCGAGTTGAACCACTAACGTAGCATGCAACACCTGCACTGCTTCACGTGAGCCTGGGCGAACACATGCGAACACACTGGTTCACGCTAGGAGCCCCTGCCACTGGTCGTGACGAGATTTCCATTGACCTGCAAAGATGGGGAATTTAGTGCGGACTCCTGTGGTTCACAAGCTGACTCAAATACTAGACACTAGTAGCTTCTTGTTACAAGTAGTAATGGCCTCCAACCTAATAGCGATGGCCTCCACCTCGTACAGTAGCTTCTTGTTGCTCTGACTCGTGGTTCAGGTTTGGAGGAAAAAGGCACCGGCAGCCTTTTCATCTAGAGGATGGTCGTGCATCAGTTTCTTCCAATCAACCCCTGAATCACCCCTCTGATCCCACCCACAAATCGAGAATCTACACTGCAAAGCAAGTTATGCAACAACCCATCGTTTCTGTTGGCGAGTCTTCATGCAAACCTGATCTATCTTTTCATGATCATTGTGACCACATTTTGGCGGGGACATCAGCACACCGGATGGCACACGTGTTTCCGCACGTGTACCTTTTTGAGTTATAAGTTATAACATTTCTGTCACTTGGTGCACTCGAGTTGATGACATCTGCTTTTCAACTCGGACCCTCTGCTTTACTCTTCTTTAACCAGCTCTTCGGCACCTTGCGATGACGTGAAAAAAACCCCAGCGTCGGCCCTCTTCGCGCCCGGCGCTCCGGCCGTTGGGAAAAAGGCTTGGGGCAACTCCTCGGATCCATGGTACGTTGGCGACATCGGTCATCGTGGTGAGGTCCTCACTTGGACGGCGGTGCCCCGCCTTGATGGCATACTCCAGGCTTTGCGTCCCATAGGTGAGCTTACTCCAGCTGACTCCCCCGTCGACCAGGTGATCGGAGTAGTAGAACGGCTGCCCTAAGCCTCGGAGGCGGGCGGGCAGCTCGTGAGACCGGAGGAAAGCCTGGGTGCCGATGTGAGGAAAGCCCCACGCTCGTCACAAAACCACCCACGACCCACCAGTCGTTCGGGCGAGAAGACGTTGTCTGGTGGTCCCATCGCCGGTTTCGCTAGACATATGAGTTCTCAAAGTGATGAACATGAGGATACCAGGATGCACGGGAATTACAGGTGAATGGACACTCCCTGGCTTTTTCACCTTTCGGAGGCCCATTCATAGACCCAAATGGGGACCCTAGGCTGCGAGGTCTTGGTGTCCTTTTTTCTGGACTCCAACACCCCCCCCGAGTGCGTCCTGCGTGCGACCCAGGAAACTTCCATCCTCCAACACGCCAATCTTCAGATACTTGCTCTGTAGGACCTCAAGAGATGGCAGCGAAGCTCACGCAAGACCAACGACATGCGCGAAGAGCACAGACAGTGTATCCCGGCGTGTATCCCGACGCTACGAAGCATAGTGTCACTGGAACATCATGAGACTGTTGACCCCCCTCGAATGGCCCAGTGAATGAGGATGGCAATGGTGCTGGGCCTCTACCAAAATAGCTATATTATATCTATATATCATGGAGATATTGAGATACATTGTTGTCCCTTCATGCAATGTGAAAAGAGCCCCAAGCCGTGTCTTGGGAACTCTCCAACCTCAGAATCGGAGGAAAGGCGGAATGGCCAGCAAAAGCTGGCTATGAGTCTGCCGACTAGCCGGCCATGATCCCTCAACTGTCCTTGTTCGCTTGGGGGAGTGAGATGTTTGAGACAACCCAATTGACTGGCGCCGTTACCCCTCTTTCAGAGGTTCGGCACGTTGCGGACTCTTCGCAGCCGTCCAAGGCCCCAGGGCGGTTGAACCGAACATATGTGCTAGAACAAAATGGTTGACCTCCACAATAAGATCTGTTAGTTATTAAAAAAATAGACATGAGGCAGAGTCTTGACTCCAAACAGCTCATTCTGTAAGGATCAAAGACCCGACGGATAAATCTCAGAGTTCGGGGGAAATCACGCACACAGTGGAATCCTCAGGCGCTGACACCTAGCCCACGGATGGTGGTGGTCGTTAGGACAGGCAAAGTGAAGACAGGTTGGGTGGTCGTGGTGGTCGTCGTGGTCGTGGTGGTCGTGGTCGTGGAGGTGGTCGTCGTGGCTTCGGCAAGTTCTCCTGACAAACAGGGCAGCGAGAAATGTGGCCGTTGAAGACTAGATGTACAGATGCACCCCTTTCAGTTGCTTTTGACCGCATGGAACTAAGATCAACTAAGAACAGATGCACCCTTCTCAAAGCTCAACTGAGCAAACACTATCAAACTCTCTGATGAAGCATCATGAAGGTTTATCAACTATTCTACTAAACCCCGGGGTATATCGGAGTGAATGAAACTGTCAAATAACAGTGGCACTGACAAAGTGGCAAACCCCTAACAAAACGCTCACGAGTCTTCTCTGGCAGCTCTTTCGAACTGTTGTTGTTTGAAGACGACTACAAGACTACGTAACTGTACCTCAGGGTGTCTGAACCCAAAACAAATCAGCAAATCCTCCCCCCTCCAAACCAACCACCCCCAAATCCGTATCTACGCCCACCCCCTTTCACGCCTTCCACCTCGACGGCCTCGCTGGCACGACTGAGCTGCACCAGATGCGTGGACCCGGCGGCCTGGGTTGACCCGAGGCGTGGGGGTCAGGGTGGGAGGCGGGTCGGGGGTTGGGGGTAGGTCCAGGTAGGCCATAAAGAGGGCAAAAGGGGGGGTTTGGGAAATGTTGGGAATGCACTCAGGTCGAGAGTGAATGGAATGAGCGTTACTGCAGGTATTCGTAAAGTGATTGTTTTTGCTGAAAATATCCAAGGTCATACATGCCCTTGCAGAAACGGTAGATCAAAGTTTTGGCGGTGTAGGGTGTCGCGATTCAATGCAACCAATTAGATTTAGATGGTTTAAGACTTAAAAAGTCCTGGAGTCCGTTACAGACTGAATATTTTGCATGAGGAACAGGTCTGGCCTTGACTGGTTTGCAGGGCTGCAATGTGCTGGTTGACTCAGCCAGTTTGACAAGGATTGCCCCACCGAAGGCCTCCTACGGCTGTCGGAAGGTTTCACATGATTGTCCATGTCGTCGGGTGGTGAAACCCACGGAGAGACCCGCAGTGCCCAGTGGATCCAGGTGCACTGAAAACGAAAAGGAGCCACCAACTTGTAATACATTCTGTCTATTCACGACCTGGGATATGGTCCCTTGGAAGACGACTTTCCTTTACGAGCAGGGGCTGAACCCCACTTCAATGTGAGTGAGTCGGAGTGGAGGTCGATGGTCTTTTGAGGAACTCACGACTCTGCTATCTTTATCAATCTCTAGTCATTCCCTAGGGCCTAGGGCTCCAACCATATCCTCACAAGGTGGTTAGACCCTGCAAACCCACCCCAACCACCTTTGAAACGGAGGTGGGCCAGGAGCCCTGACTTGGACACCTCGCCAACTCACTGCGAGTGGTCGACCGTCTGACCGATCCTTCGGACAGAAACACCGATCGTTCGTCCGCCCAAGGCACCGCGTAGAAGATGGTGGCCTTCTTGGTCTGCCCGGCAGACAAAGCGCCCAAGGGAACCTGAGCATTCAGGTCTTGACAGCGGAGGAGGTGAACAAACAAAACGCATGAATCTGCCATGGAAAGCGGCCGCAAAAGCTGAAACCCATGAGGGGAACTAGCCTTCCTCCTGGTCCTGCAAATCAATTTTCATTAGATCCCTGGTGGCTGAAGGACACCATGCCTGGTCAAAGCAAGAAAGGCTCCCCCACAAACCTCCCTGCCATGCCCCAACTCCACTGTGCACGTCGTGTTCGGCCCCCCCAGCCTTTCCTCCGGCCGACACGTTCCTCCGATCCCAGCCGCGCAGATGGCATAGGCCCCGTCGGACATCGACTTGGACAACTCGGAGCGGGTCACCGCCTTGGGGGATGGCGATGGCGATGGCGAGGCGTAGGAGGAAGGGTCCCGGGTGGGCGAAGGAACGGTGAAGGTGGGTAACTCGTCGAAACAGTGTGCTTCCACAGTGTGCAACCCCACCCACCCACCACCGGTGACCGGTGTGGCGTGGTTTGAGCCCTTACTTGTGGGCGTACGATCACTCTGTCTTTTGGACCGTACGATCACTTTGGGCTCGTTCCTTTCGGCCTGACGGTCTGGGGGGAGTGCCCGAGCCTTCGCGGTTGATGGAAGACGTGATTTTGCACGATGGACGGGCACCAACACATTCGGGGTCGACAGACTGCCCTGCATGACTACAAATGGTATGGGCACTCTGGTGCACTTGATGGAGGCAACAGATAAGGTGGATCTGCGTGGTTCTCAAAGAAAGGCCAAGTCCTTATGTTTGAGCTGCAACTATTCACGTGCTGAATCAGTTCCCTAAAGCAGGATGTCAATGTCAATGGTGGCTTTTTTGAGCCGACATCTTCAATTGGGGCTAGTGAGAAACCGGCTGGAATTCACCAACTCCTCCATTGCTTATAGACCAAATGCAGCATCAGCTTCACTAGATTCTGACTGGTGGTTATAGGGAATGAGGGAATGACCACCCACAAGAGATACCTTAAGATTCATGCCCTTATTCCTTACATTCCCTTACTAAACACGATTCAGGATGCCTAGGCCCAAAACCCCATGTTGTCGCAGCCCCTCACTCAGTGCAGTGCAAGCCTCCCCGCATCTGTGTTTGTGCGTCTATGCAAGGCCCAAAACTGGCGGCGGATCATTCGCCCAAACGTGATAGAGATGAAAGTTGGTCATCAAACCAACTTCAATACTATTCTACTTGGTCTCCAATTCAGTTGGTCTTCACAACTGGTCGTCCAAGTTGGTCTTCAATACTGTTCTTGTTCCCTCTAGGACATTTTTCGAAAGCTATCGGCTATCGGAAAGAAAAAAGCCGGACCGGACATTGGATTGCAGATTTCCCCCTAAAACAATGGCTTTCAGGGTGCTTCAGGGGGGCAAGCACTGTCACCGATCGGAATTGAAGAAAAACACCGAGCAGAGTCCATGGGCCCCTCCAGACACCGAGCCATGAGTTCCCTCGCCCGGGGCGAGCTGCTGAGCTCCGCCGGCCAAACCGGGGCTCCGGACATAGACCTCAGGCCAATGGCCGTAGTGTTGCAGGATGATCGAGTGGCTCCCGGGATTGGGCGAGAAGACGAAGACTTCCTCGTTGCCTTGGGAGGGTGTGGGAGGGTTGGTGAGGTGGAAATCACCGTGGTTGAAGCCCAGGTCTCAAAAACAGGAACCTCTAGTAGAAGCTCTTTTGATGGGGTTTTGTATGGAAGAAGAGAGACCTTCTAGCTGACCACGTGGGAAAGATGGAATTTAATGTCTCTGGTTTATAAGCTGTTTCTGCAACCATGAGATACTTTCAAGCTTCAGGACGAAAAGGAAAAGGTCTTCTTATCGTAGTATTATGGGTAGTAAAGAAAGTATTCATGTAAACCCTCCAACTTTTCCTCAGTTTCGTCTCAAAAAGCAATACAAAACTGGAAGCCTCAACGGTGTGTTGTTTTGCATCCAAAAGGTGAATGTCTGCAGGGGTCCATGATTGGGTCTGGGGCTGGACTCCAATGTCTGGAACTCGTCATTTTCAGTCAAAACCCTCGACCTGGCCATCCTCCACTCTCGTATTTTTCTGTCTCAGAACTCTCAAGTCCCTCTCTTCTATGGCCGTCCATCCACACCAACCCGAACCTGCGAAGGAACCTGAAAATCAGGCGATGCTGCGATGTTCACAGCAAGACTGGTCGACGATGCTCTAGTGCAGGTGCAGTATTCCGAGGTCAACATGTCATCCAGTCATCCAGTCACTCGTCCACTTAAACGCAGGCTGTGTGTCTTGAAATTCATACATATATATAATATATATATATTATTCATGCTTAGCACTCCAAGCTGCTATCCTGCACCCGCAGGATCTTCCCATGTGCTTGGGGCACGAAGTTGCCCCCGTGGAAGTAACCTGGCGCAAAACCACATCACTGGTTGTTCTCTTCCACTTGCATACATATAGCTTTTTGTATGTGATTGTACGTGTGTTGTATGTGCTTAGCTTATGGAGAAAAAAAAATCAGAACACGTGAACACATCTCATCTATCATGCCTCATCATCTTCATCTTTTGCTTGGATCCTCCGACCCCAATCAACTGGATCCTCCCGCCCGGCCCACGCCTTGCTGCTTGGTGGGCCGATCCGAGCTGCCGATCCAGTCATCCGAGGTGCCCAGCCACACCTCGGCGAAAGAGACGGTCCGACGGTACAAAAGTCGGCGAAGAGTTCGAGGAAACTACGGTTGACTGAGTGAAGGGCTTAGAACCACTGTCGTTGTCGTTGTTGTTGCTGCTGCTGCGGACTTCTGTTGTTCTTGTTCCTGCTGAAGATGGGACACAAAAAATGTTGCTTCGACAACATCTGCGGTCCTAAGCCCTTCGCGGTTGCTTGCCGTTTCCACATACCTATTGGCAGCAGCCTCCAGTCCTGTGGATTTCCGCACCAATCTTCATAGTCACTCCGTGTCTTTAGCAGAATGCTGTTCCCCCTCCTGAATTTGAGGCAATTTCTAAACAAGCTGCCCAGCTACCCCTCAAAGCCCCCCATCTGATACCCGAACTCCCTATCATCTCAACCCCCCCACCTCAACCCCCATCTCACTCCCTCAGTTCTCTCAACCCCCAGACCCAGACCCAGACCAAACGGCTCGGCCTTGAGGTCCGACAGCTCGGTCAAAGCCGTGAACTCGTAGGTGATGCGCAAGATCATGCCATCCCCCGCGAAGGAGTATCTCCCTCACCGAAGCGGCTCCCGAAGCGAGGCTCGGAGACTCGACTTCGTCCCACGAATGTGGACGACGGGAACTGGGCACAACCGGCCGAACGTGTTGAATCTATGGGTCCATGTCTTGACAGGGGGTACATCGATCAGACTCGGTAGACTCAGTAGACGTGAGCTTGTTTGATCCGTTTTGTGTATCTCTACGTGAAGTCAGGTTCCATTAGTGCTTACGCATGCACGCTCCTGGGTGAAGTCCGAAAGTCCAAAAAGAATCAGGTTCATCATGGTCATCGTCTTCTCACCATCACTGACCTCTCATCTGCGTATCTAAACCACAAAGATGCACAAATACCACCACAAACACTGTTTGGGAAAGCAATAAATGTCAGAGCTGACCCAAATTTAGCCACCCGATCCCCAGAGAAAACTACCTGATTAGCCTACTGTCTGTGTCCTTTCTCTATGTCCCTTGTCCACAAAGCCCAGGAGCGAATCACTTCTGCCTGGCCAATGGCGAAACTCCGCTGGCGAGAAAGTCCAATCGGTTAGGCAGCTAAGCATAGCTAAGCATGGGAGTCAAGAAAAGAACAATGGCGTGGTTGCAAAGGGACTTCATCCAAATAATGTGCCCGATTTCGTTCGAATCTGGAGGGTGGTGTCTGTGATTTCCTCTCTGCAATAGCCCTTTGGTGTCCGCAAACAGGGAGACCTGGCGGCCCGTTCGGCAAGGGCCCAGGCAATGGATCTCCAGGCGCGAGTCAGGTTCCGTTTGGGGCCATTGGTCCTCCCATGGTCCCATAGACATGTGGAGCGACCGATCTGCAAACTAACCTCTCTGGTCGAACGTCAGCACAGGAGAAGGCCCTTCGAATCACACTCCCACGCCATATGACCAGTTCAGTCCCGTGCTCTCGATCTTGCTTTCGCACGTCCCTTGCTCGAGAGCCTTGCAGTTTTGATCCTCCCTCCGCGTGTCGTTCTTCCGCCTTGGAGACGCCGTTCACGGTGACCTGCGAGCGGATGGACAAGCTCTGCCCAGGCGTGGAGCTCTCGATGGCTGGCTCACCTGAAGCGTGCGGTCCCCGGAGCCGCGCGCGTGGGATGCACGTGGCGGGGCGCCAGGAGCAGGTATTGAGCTACTTACTTGTGTTGGCTGGATTTAAAGCCCACCAAAGCCATCCAAAGCCAATCTATAGAAGCAATCGCCCAGTGAAACACCCTACAACAAGATCGGCAACCAACTGAGTGGAAGTTCTTGCAAGAAAGAGGCGGTGAATTTCAGTGAGTTCCCTGGAAAAGTGTGGAATTGATGATGTCACCTCCGGAACTCTGGAGGTTTCATGAACAAATGGATCGAAGACTTGGCACAGAATCTGTTCATGCCACTGATGAGAAACCCCACCTCGGATGGCTCTCTTGAGGACTGAGCCCATCTCCCCCAGATTGACCTGGCAAAACGGCTTTGAACCCCAGTGGTTTGGGTCGTCCTCCGGCTCCAGCCGCGACTGAGGTCCCAGACCCCCAATCTCCGCCTTCTCTCCATTCACCTGAATTGGGCTCCCATGGCCGTTCCCACGGCCCAAAGAGAGAGAGGGAGAGAGGGAGAGAGAGAGAGAGAGAGAAAGAAAGAAAGAAAGAAAGAAAGAAAGAACAAGAGAGTGTGCAACCAAGCCAGGCACAAGGCACGGTTTTCGGGATCATCTGCGCCATCCATTTTTGGTGCGGGTTTGTTTGTGAAAAGGAAACAGGAAGCGTCTCTGCCCATGAGCCCGAAAGAGCCAGTTGGCACGTGCCTTGATGGCGTAGTTCAGCTTGAAGGTACCATAGGTGAGCTTGGTCCACCCATGTTGCTGGGAGAAATAGAAAGGTTGCCCCAAACCTTAGCTCTCAAACTACGACACAAGTAAAAGCAATCACACGGTCGGGGGTGCTCACCGCCGCGACACTGGGTTCATGTTGGGTCGCACTGCTTCCTCTGAAGGGTCCTACTCCTGTTCTACCTGCGGAGCCTTGACCAGAAGCATCAGCCCTGCTTTTGTTCGGCCAGCGACTTCCATCGTTCAGCACAGCGATCTTCAAGTAAGGGTTCTGCAGGACCTCGGCAGTGTCAGGACCCTTCCTTCAGAAAGTGAATTGGAAAAACCTACCCACTGATCTCATCATGTTGATTGGTGACAGATCATTGAGTCATTGAGCCGTGACAGGGCATTGACTGCAGAGTCGATAAGCGGTAGGCAACAAATTGAAACACGGTGTACCAAGTTCACCAAGTATCTCAAGAGTTCCATGAAAGTGGTTCTGGTTCACGTAATTCAGCCAAAACCCTACCCCAAAAGCCATTCAAGAACCCGAGAGTGAATCAAATTTCAGGTAGCTTCAAGCTGCTGCTGTTGCTACTCTGTTGCTGCTGCGTAACCTAAAACAACTCCCTCCGTCCCGAAGGGGCTAGCGGCTAGAGCCTTGGGGGCTGAGAAGATCTCGATGTTGTGGAGTCGATCGTCGATCCCTCAAAGCAACCGGTTTCAGCACATCTCTCCAGCCCCTGAAGTCACTGTCATCCATGGTGTTCCGAACGTCCCTCGTCCAGTGTGGTGGTGCCAAAACTACTTGTTCGTGGTGTTTGCACGGACAAGTTAGGACGTCCCCTATCGCTTTTCAGGGCTTTGGTCTTTCCACCGATATTTTTGCATTCCATGCAGGGAGTGCAATTTGAGAATTGGGGGTGGACGAACCGTTGGTCAGCAACGACGGGTGGGTAGCAGCAGCAGTAGCAGCAGCAGACCACCCGTAGACCAGCAGACTGGCACACCAGGAGGGGCAGCAAGCCACTAGCAAGGCAGGCAGCCAGCGCAAGATCAGCAACAGCAGCAGCAGCAGCGAGCAAACCAGCAAATCAGAAGCAGCAAGAGCAGCAGAGCAGCAAGCAAAAGCAAGCGGCAGCAGGCAGCAACAGCAGCAAAGCAGCAAGCACCAGCAAGCAGCAGCAAGCAGGCAGCTAGCACCAGCAAACCCAGCAGCAGCAACAACCCAGCAGCAAACCAGTAACCCAGAAGCAGCAACACCAGCAAGCAGCAGCAGGCAGCAACAGCGGCAGCGGCAGCAGCAAAGTAGCGAGCAGGCAGCCAGCACCAGCAAAACCAGCAGCAGCAGCAGCAGCAGCAGCAAGCCAGCAGCAAACCAGCAGCAGACCAGCAAACCAGAAGCAGCAACACCGGCAAGCCAGCAGCAGCAGCAGCAGAGCAGCAAGAAGAGGCAAGCAGGCAGCAACAGCAGCAGTAGCAGCAGCAAAGCAGCAAACACCAGCACGCAGCAGCAAGCAGGCAGCCAGCAGCAGCAAAGCCAGCCAGCACCAGCAAAAGCAGCAGCAAACCAGCAGCAAACCAAGTGTACGTGTGGGGATCTTGTCATGTGGCTGAGAAAACATACCTTGCTTCGTTGGGGTATCGTTGAAATCGCCCATTAATGGAAGCAAAAACGGATCCGCACTCTTTCCCGAGCTCTGCCCATGATCAAGTTCAAGCTGAGTAGATCCCCGGTGTGCAGGCCAAAACGGCTCCAAGCTGTGACAACTTCTAAGGATCTGTCCATCTCACTGGCTGCAATGCAAGTCTTAGAGGTATCGTGTTTTTAGGACATCGAGGAAAACATTGAAAGCGCTAGCTGCGTGAAGCGCCCCATTTAAAACTACACGACGCTGGTTTTGTCTCTGACTCTAGTCTCCTCGCACCAGCCCAGCGGCATTCAACCCATCACTCGGACCGCTCACACTGGTGCTCGCCATTGCCGGCGCCATGGTCACTGCCATGGTCGGTGCCATCGTCACCGGCGCCATGGTCACGGGAGCCATGGTTGCTGGCGCTGTGGCCGTCGGCACTATCGCAGCCGCATGGCCTGCAAGGACGGACTGAGTGGAGGGCGGATGATGAGTTGGTCATGCGCGGACCCAAAGCCATGACGCTTTTGGGTGTTCATCAGAAAAATGTGTGTGTGTCCACACCTGTGCCTAGGTTTTGAGTCACAAAGGACGCTACTAGGGGCCCCTGGTTTCGCTACTAAGGGCTCCTAGTATCGCTATTAGCGTGCAGTTTTTCAAATCAGAAACAGCGCGAGCAAAAAGATGCAGGGGGCTCGTGGACGCATGGATGGCACGAGCCAACGAAGACCCATCCATGTCGTCGTGATACCAGACCTGATCAGTCTGGCGTACCTGCAACCTTTTAACACTTTGGCAGCCTTATCCGTTTCACCCAATGTTAAACTATTCAAGTACTGCCGACTCTTTCACCATTCCGTTATGCAAGTCAAGGTCTACAATGCAGCGGGTAATGTAATCATCTAAAGTGGGACTTCATTCTGATCCTAGCTCTTGCGAGCAACCATCCAAGTGTGTACTCGCCACAGAGTCCCACTGAGGGCTGTGGTGTGATCCCCGTCGAGGGGCGCAGCATGTGCATCTTGGCGTTTCATTCGATTACTTCTGGCTTGACGGTTCTGCTCGATACCAATGATTTCATGCCGCAGGGCTTACTGAGACTCATGGTCCAGACCAGATTTGCACTTCCATGCATGTGTCTAAGCTTCGGACTCAGACATGTCAGCGCATGTGCTTTTCATGCTCTTGGGTTCTTTCTCTCTTTCTGTTGCGTTTCGTTTCTTGAGGCCTTTCTTTAGGTTTCAGGTACCTTTCAGACAAGGGTGCGCCGGCCAAAATCGGCTTGACTTGAATGCCTATGATGGCACACCCTATCCCACCCTCCCCCCTACCTCCCTGCCCCTGGGCCTCCGTTGCTATCCCACCCGCTATTTAGGGTAACAGAAGGAAATCGCACTCAACACACTTGTGTGTTGGTGCCTTTCCTTCTGTTTCTCCTGTCCTACTTCTAGCTACCCGGGCGGTTTAAGACAAAAGTCCCGCTCGCTAACTACTTTCGTTTAACTAAGTGGGCCTCGTAACTACACCCATCTTTCTTTCTTGCCCTCTTAGTCTGCTTTTGTTTTGTTTTCTTTGTCTGTCTTTCTAAGGCTTATTAGGTGGCTAGTAATTTTTCCGCAGCGCCAATATTGGCGCTATGTGTACAAAGAGCGCACCGATTACGGCCTTGTCTTTGTGTATGTATCCATACATGTGCTTAAGGCTTTGCGTCACCAACGACGCTACTAGGGGCTTCTGGAATCGCTATTGGGAGCAAGGACGGTACTACTAGGGGCCTCTGGCCGTTCTACGGGGAGTAAGGACGCTACTAGGCTCCTGGCCTCACTACTAGTTTGCAAGCAGGGGAGAGCGCGCCGAGTACTGCTTCGTGTGTGTGTCCACACCTGTGCCTAAGGTTTTGAGTCACAAAGGACGCTACTAGGGGCCCCTGGTTTTGCTACTAAGGGCTCCTAGTATCGCTATTAGCGTGCAGTTTTTTCAAATCAGAAACAGCGCGAGCAAAAAGATGCAGGGGGCTCGTGGACGCATGGATGGCACGAGCCAACGAAGACCCATCCATGTCGTCGTGATACCAGACCTGATCAGTCTGGCGTACCTGCAACCTTTTGACACTTTGGCAGCCTTATCCGTTTCACCCAATGTTAAACTATTCAAGTACTGCCGACTCTTTCACCATTCCGTTATGCAAGTCAAGGTCTACAATGCAGCGGGTAATGTAATCATCTAAAGTGGGACTTCATTCTGATCCTAGCTCTTGCGAGCAACCATCCAAGTGTGTGTCAAGTCCTGTCCCTAAGGACCCCTGACACCCATGGACATTATAGCAGGGGGGCCCATGGACATTTGAATGGCATGGGCCAACGAAGACCCATCCAAGCTATCGTGCAAACGTACCTGCAACCCACTTTAAGTTTTGCCACGTTTCAACTGTTGACTAAGCTGTGACTCCAATTCCTTAAGGTGCTAGCACGCCTTTGTTCAAACATTCTTTTCCGCTGACGAATCACCCTTCCGTTCTGCAAGTTAAGCTCTATAGCTCTCAGTAACGTACAGTGCTAGTCTCACGGGAATTTCCAAACTGATATAGCTCTTGTGAGCATGGATCTAAGTGCCTTTTAATGTGTGTTCTTTCTTCTTGGGGAGGGCTCTTTTTGGGGAGGGTTACTGTAATCAGTGAAACACTCCTGCCAGCGGGCTTTCCTGCACAGAACTTGCTGAACATGTCATCCCGCTGACCTGCGGTTTCTGCTTCCGCACTGACCCTGGTGAGGTGCGAGAGTTGGCTGGCCGAGGCAGCCTGAGAAGGCATCGACACGGCATCGTGCGTAGCTGGAGATGGGCCCAGTCTGGATCACCTGGGCCCACCCTTGATAGAGATGGGCCCAGTCACAGGCGATCGGGGATCTCCCGATTTTCGCTCTCACACCCATGGACGATCTGCTTGGACCACTAATCTCCTCCTGTTCGGGGCCCTTTTGGAGCCTGACTGAAAGTCTTTGGAACTACTGACCAGATCGAGTAACTGGATCCACTGGCATAGATATGGCTCAAGAATCAACGGACCAACAAAACAAATGTTTCGTCCCGTTTGGCCGACCGACCATCGAGCGCGGGCGCGCTCAGCACCCGATTTGATTGAGCCCTTCCCACGTTGAAAAATGAGGGTTGGTCAAAGCTGTGGTACAGCTTTGTAACACTTTTTTTTATGGCATCAGCTTGGCATGACTACAAAAGAACTCCAGCCAAAGCTCTGCATAGAAAAAGCTCGCGCGCTTCGTCTCTCCAAAGGCTGCGTCACCACAGGGTACCTCGCTAATCGGCATGGCTTCGAACAAATGCCGTACAAGAACAGCCACCATCAACCAGTGACCTCCAAAACAAGAGAGAACTGGATTTATTTCAAGAGGATTCACATGATTGACTCGTTTCTACACTAGGGGTGACAAGGAAGAGATGTGCAAAATGCTGTGTCCAAAGATGAGCTAGGATTGGCGTGGCAGTGGCATTCAAGTTGTTCAGAGTCCGTATGGCCCTATCTCCATCCTCAACTCAAAATCAAGAAATGAGATGAAATGAGTATCCTCAAACCACAAATGCAAAAGGGGATATACTATATGCATTGTCCCCTACTCTATCTACCAAATGACCGTGCCTCCGCCCATTCAAAGCGCCCTCTTTGCCCAAACACCAAGCTTCCTACCTCAAAACACTCCAGTGGTCAAAATACTCAAATACTCAAAGGCCTTGAAAAGAAGGCGCTGAAAAAAAGCATCAAGACAGTGTCGGACTGATCACTGTTCCAACAGTCTGTTCACTCCAACGGCAGAAGCGGACGTGCCGTCCTCCGGGCCTCCGGTCCCCCCCGGACTGCACGGTCCAAGTCGCATAGATGCCATAGGCTCCATCCGAGGTGGACTGCGACATGTCGGACATGGTTGCAGCCTCAACAAGGATGCACAGGAACACGGCATCGAAAGGATACAACTGGGACCTCGAAAGGATAAGCTACACATGGCCTCTAAGTCTCCCAACAAAAGTATCGGTACATGATTGGTTTCAAGCTTGAGACCATGTCCTTCCAGGACAATTCCCCACTTCTCTCCTTCTCTTGAAAAAAAAGGGGCATAGACCTGGGACCAATTCCCATAGTGCTGCAAGATGATGGCATGGCTCTCCAGCTGCGGAGAGAAGGCGAAGACCGACTCCTCACCTGGCAAGACCGACACTCCACCGCTTCCACCCGGAGCCACCAAAGGAGGGCCAGTCCGATGGAACACAACAGTTTTTCAAATACCCCGCTGGCAGTGCCCAAGTGCTCATGTTCCCAAGGTGATGATCATCTGATATGGGTCTGATATGATATGTACTGACATGTTATAAGATTGGTTTTGAACGAAAAGTACCCCATCCCAACTCCCACGAAAACGACCAGCGCAAAAGCGCATGACGCATTGAGGCCTATCATGATCTGAATGCAAGGAAGACTTTGAGTCCCATGTGTAGCCCTATGACGGAAGGTTGCGAAAGGAGACATGTCGCTTCGCGGTAATTTACCGCAAAAAAAAAAAACATCTTGAAACTGTCGGGGTTGATTTCCCCTGGATTCTGTAATTCTATATTCTATGCAATTCTGCACAACTCTGCCATTTCATCGAAAGATTCCACCATCTCGTGAAGGGAGTCACAACCTATCATTCATGAAACTATCTTATCTGACTCCTCCTCTCCAAAGAGCCGAAAGAATCCAGCGTGTAACTAACCCTCATCCTCATCCTGCCTTAAAACCCCATTCCGCTCGGTCCATCGACCGCGGTACCCGTCCGCCTGACTGGACCCGCAAGACATGCCCATGAGGTTCGTGCACGAAGCTACCCCCACGAAAGTTGCCTGCAACGCTTGGCAGGACGAGGTGGGCGTGACACACACTGGTGGAGTTGTCATGGAGTGGTATCTTCCAAGACTTTGGACCTTTTTGGACCTCTGAACCACTGCTCACCAGGGTGAGTTCTTCTCCTTTTACTTGGGTCCTCCTGGAGATACCGGAGATACACCCAAAACATCCCAAACCACATGTAGTGCATCCAAGAGGTCTGTTTGACACCTTCATCTCTCTCTTCCTCGAGACCGAAATGAGCTTGTGGCACGTGTGGCTTGCTTGCTGCCGCTTCGAAGTCTGAATGTCCTCCACAAAAACAACACCAACCGCACTAAGCATGGATAAAATGATAAAGCTCTGCACCACTCGCCCCGAATCCGGATGAATGTGGGACGTTACGGGCCTTGCTCCTTGCTGGGTCGATCGCTGGTGCCAATCCAATCGTCCGAGGTGCCCAGGTAGACCTCGTGGGTCGTTCGGTTCGGGTTCGGGTTCACGGAGGGTGCTGCGGTGAACACCCGGGTGTTCACCGGGGGGGAGGGGCTTGGGGGGGGGGCGTAGGGTGTTCTCTGTTGACCCTCAACCGGTGAGATTCCTCTCGAATCCCGCTGTGGATTTGAAGCATTTGTTCGCTCTCACATCTATCCCGCTTCGATCCACAGGGTTCCACCGTGTGCGTATTTGTTTTTGTCCACAATGAATGAACTTCAAGGGTTTGTGGAAAACAAACTTGCAAAGGGTACAAACACAGAGACAGTCATGAGTCATAACAAACTTTCCAGATCCATGTATTCTATGGGTTCAGAAAAACAGGTTGTCACCAAATGTCGTCCGAAGTCTTCAGCTTCCTGCGTCCCATCGCAGCTCATCTGCCTGAAGATTGTACAAAGGAGTCAACGCTGTGAAGGTGAAGGTGATGTTCAAGACCATGCCATCGCCCAGAAAGCTGTAGCTACCTGAGTCCGCACAGACGATCACCCAGCCACCGGGTCACCGAGAAACACCGAGAGTCACCGCCGACGCAACGTCCCGCAACGTCGGTCGCCGCATCGACGCGCCAAGGGACGGGTCAAGGTGGCCTGGCGGTCCGGTCCACGTGCGCTCTTCGCGGGCGCGGAGAGCGATGGACCGTTGAGAAAGGGAAGAGCTGAGGCGAGCCCAGTGGTTGATGATGGTGCTTTCTTTCCTGAATTAACAGCTGAGCTGCCTTAAAGCCCACATCCTGCAAGAGGTTTGCAAATCTAAGGGGTGCAGAGAGAACAGGTGCAGGTTCCTCGGTCTGTATACATGTGGTTGCAGCCAATTCCTTTTTGCGCTGTGGAGGCAAAATTGATGTCTATAATATATATATATGTGTGTGTGTGTGTCTTTCCACTCGCTTGGGTTTTCGCAGCCCTACAACCGCTGGATATGTGATCTTGATGACGGAGGTAGAAGGAGAAACTCTTTGCATTCTTATTCCTACAGGTCAAGGAGCTCATTTGATCATTTGACTGGATCCGGTCATGCAAAGCCAGTACTCAATGAGGTTAAGGACCAGGTTTAACTTGGCCCGACTGGACTTGTAGCGTTGTGTCACCGAACTCTAACTGCGCTCCCCTTGCTCCTTTGCCACTTCGTGACTCCGTGTCATTTGCTACTGACTTGGGGCACGGAGCTTGAGGAGACGGGAGATTCTCACCCTCTCAAGGATCAAAATGAGTTGTTTGAGTTTAGTTGAACTCTGGAGGATGTGATCTCCATATATTATATATATATATTTATACTAGATTCTAGATACCAGACCAGAGACGAGGTGGTTTGGGCTGTACATTGCTCTGCAATGCTGCGCATGTGTCATGGCGGTGGAGGAAGAAATCCTAGAAACAACACCTGGAACCCCCAGAAACACACCGAAAATACAAATGTGTTGGTTGGTTTTGGTCGAGCTCAAGTGGTGTTGGGTGTGCCTTTCTTCACCGTCAAAAGTCTTGCCAGTCGCGCCCAGCACCGCAGACGGAGTGCTCGACCAGGACAGTCAGTAAGTCGGTGAGCTAAACAGCGGATTTGTGAGGGTTCCCCAGACATACTGTAATACAGGTAATGATTAGATATAATTAGATTGGTTTTAATGAATCCCCCAATAAAACTTGTGTAGAACATCAGCTATCGGCTATCTATTTGGAGACTTGAGCCACCCATGACCCTTTTTTCCTAAGAGAGACCATGATCCGCAAAAATCCGGACAGCACGTTGGAGTCCCAAACGTTGGATTGTTCCCTCCCCTCATGGAACATCCAAGCACAATGGTCACCCTGACTTCCCCCAAGCCTTCCAGCCCAAGGCCCTCGAAAAAGAACATACTAAAAAAAATCCGACTTCATTCAGGCGTCTTCCTACCTCGACCCCGTTGGGATCCCTTTAAAAACAACAAAACACTCAGGGCCTGTGGGATGCCATCCATGATGAGCTGGGAGCGACCCTTGAAGTGCTGCTCATCGGAGCTCAAAATGGTCACATCCCCTGCCGAGGAGGTCGGATCAAACAAGATCAAACGAGGGGGAGGACCAGAGGAGCCGATGGGCGGGGATCAGATCGGTGATCCATTCGACGAGAAAAATGAACTCAGGCATACTCAGGTTTTCTTGGATGTGCACCATACTCGGCCTACCATACCTGCGCCATGCCGACCACTTCGTGCTTTTCCCCTTCGGCGCAAGGAGTCTTGCTCATCAACCATTGTTCATTCGCTTTGACTTTGACCCATTCCGATGCCGATCATATACATTACTGCAAACACTGCGCCAACCCGCCGAGGCAGATAAACTCTTACATCCAGCAAAGCTTTGGCAGGCAAACCACTGGTAAGCACGCCAGGAGGATTCTGGCTAAACAAATCATGCCAGGGTAACCCTGGGTACTCAAAAAATCCCAAAGACCCTTTTCACCCAAACAAATAGAAAGATGCTCCAACGGCCCCTCCTTCCGTCTTTCCCCCCTCTATCCCCCACTAATATTGAGCTCGTCCACTAATATTCCCAAGGGCGTTCCGGCCTGAGATGCTGGCCAAATGGCCATTCACCTCGCAGCGGCCGAGTTTTCGTTGCAACGACCACCGGGGGACCCAGACTGGGCGAGGACATGCGAGGGCGTATGCTCAGGAGCGGCTTCTCAGCTGGTGGTCTCACCAATTTGCAACATGGCAAAAACAGGACACGTGGGTTGGTTCCACAGGATGCAGTATAGTATTTATGGTATTCTGACTTCAAGTATTTTCTAGCTTGCTATGGTTTATGTTTGGCGTTGAGTACTGTGGTTGCTTGATGTTGCTTGATGTTTTTGGCTTCTCTGATGAATGTGTTTGCATGTTTTTGCTGTGACAACTTTTGGCAACTTGGGGGGAAGCACAAGTGCCAAAGAAGCTGCCCAAGACAAGGAAGGGACAACTAGTCTCTGGTTGTTATGGAACACTTGGAAGAAGTTCGTGTTTAATAGGAGAGGTGGACAGGGGGTCTTCTTGGGCGGTCTCCCTATTCAACTACACACCCACTTCAATCCTCAAGTCTTTAGGCGCCTTACAATCAAGGTCCCATTTCTGAGTATACACAGTTCTTGAAAAGTGAGGGTGGGGCCGTGATGAGCCAGTTGTGAATCAATGAAAACTCAAATCAACTCACCGACTGCTTCGAGCCTTACAAAAACAAGGGTACAGGTGAACTTGGAAATTCCTTGAGTGATGTGAAAAGCAGGGGTGAGCCGATTCTGATTCGATGGACATGGTCAGAGCAGCCTTCGGGGCCGGAAACATTAAAACACGGTGTCTGTCGGTGGAAAACCTGGAGAGCACCCCAGTTGTCCCCAACTTCCAGTGGATGTGCACCCAATAACATGCTTTGTGGGTCTTGGCTTTTGAGTTTTTGACCAATCTTTTTTGCTTGACTCCTTGACAATGTCTGAGGGAGCTGAAAACAGGTCGGATGTCGCCAATGTCCCGCGATTTTTTGGCCCTTCGACCATCTTGCCCTCTTCCCCGGCCTGGAGGCCAGCCGTCGGAGCAAAAGGATGGCCATGAAGTCCGAAGACTAAACAGGTGGTGGGTTTTCACGAAACCAGGATGATTTCAGGGCTGAAAATAACGGCACTCCCCCACCCACGTCGGTCGCACTGTCCTCGCCTTAATGGCATAGTCCAAATGTTGAGCACCATAGGTCAACTTCGTCCAACCATGCTGGTCCGACATGTAAAAGGGCTGCGCTAGACCTGCACAGGAAACGAGCGAAGCGATCGGAAAAAAAACGACAGGATGGTTTGTCGGGTGGGATTGGGAAAATGGATTTGGTAGATCGATTTACCCTGGGCAAAGGTACCTGATACCATCTGATACTTCTGCTTCTTCGTTGGAAGTCATGTCCCATACTCGATATGAACTGGATGGAGGGGTGAGGCATGAACTGCAGGGATTGCGAAGTGCACGAAAGTTCGAAGATTGGCCGCCGCTTTGGCACGATGCGACTCGGCCACACTGAAGATCACCAAACGGGTGAGCAAAACACGCGGAGATGTGCCAGACACTGGGTGATCCCTGTGTGACTCAAAAACTAGGTTTCTGCCAGGTATCCACCTTAGATATCCTAAACAAATGTGACTTCAGAACAATTGGCACCTAAAAAAGGAGCAGATTCTGATCCAAATCCCAACCCACCTTCCTCCACCACCCCGCCAATCCTCCCACTCCTCGAGCTGTACAACTTTATTAAAAGAAAAAAGGGAAAAAAACAATCCCAAGTTGTACAGTTTCCAAGAAAAACGATTCACTTCCAAGAAAAACTCTACAACTGAATCGTTCCACGCAGTTCTCCAAGAAAAACCATTCACTTCCCCGCTTTTGGCTTGCGGCCTCCATCCGGCAGGACCGAGACTTTGAGGTATTGACTCTGAAGCACCTCGCCGCTCCAGTCGCGGTGCGGCGCGACTGGAGCGCAGTGGGAGACGGAGGAACTGCGGAGTGGAGACCTGTTTGACTGCGGAAAGGAAGAGAAAGGTCCAGTCACGGTGTAATCTCTGAGTGCAGGCTGTACTTGGCGGCGCATCCATTGCAGCGTGCTGTCAAAGTATTGTTTGGGGTTGTCGAAGTGTTGCGTATTGACAAATTTATCGAACAACCCAATATCTTCGCTGTAAAACATCCCGATGTCAACGAGCTGAGACCCACGAACCTTTTTCAATTCCCTTTTTCAAATTGGTGGGTCAAAGCCCACGAACCTTGCTTCACCTGCCATGGACGTCCCCAAAAAGAGGAGCGCCACTCGATCCTCGGGTGCTGGCTGCCCGCAGCCACATGCTCACGCTTTGTGGTTGAACACGCTTTGGGTCAGTTGGGAATCGCAGCTGGCCGAGTTTGGCATGAGGGCAGTTGCGCGCACAAACCCATGGCCTGCAGGGCTTCCTCATCTCCTCAGGCATCCAAAGAAAATGTCTGTGATCAGGAGGTCAGTGACTTGAGGTCGATAATACAAGGAATGTGGAAAAAAAACCTGCCAACCGATGCGAACCAGTATGTGTATAGATCATCTTTGCCATGGGTCATCTTCGAAGTCCAGGATGTCAGTGTTAGGAAAAATTATGTACGAGATTGCCGCTCATTCTGATGCCACAGGTTACGGTGCGTTGTTGCTTGTGCAGGTCTGGGCTCTTATTTGGGTCCCGATTCCCGATCGTTAAAGAGAAATGGCGGGCCGTTTTGCCTCTCTTCCGTGCCAGGCCATCCGCAGACTGGAGAAAAACAACATCCCATGGTCAGTCCTCCGCTGCTGCTACTGCTACTGCTATGGCTGGTCATTCCTGGCCGAGCGCTTCTTCTGGAAGAGAAGATCTATGGTTCGAAGAGAAAGAACCCAAACATGTGGCTTCCCACTCTATGGTTGTTGGCTTCTTGCAGAACTAGCTTTTGTCTTGATTCGCTTCAGATTGATGTATCTTTCACAAAGCTCTCTGGGGCTCTCTCTGTTTCGGCTATAAATGTATATAATTGGAGGGGAATGTTGACCAATTGACTACTACATATGTATATATATATAGAGCGAGAGAGAGGCTCTAACTAAGACTGAGGGACTTAGGAATTCCGAAATGGCCCTGAACAAAGCCAACCGCTCTTCCATTGACTAATTCATTGTGACATTGTGGGCACTGACAACAAGTTAGTGTGCCTGATCAGTTCAGTTCATTCTCATAATTCAAGATAGAGAGCATTTCGAGCCAACACGAACAGGACCTATTGTCAATTTATGCGTTCGGGAGGTAGTCATCCTTACATCCCTGCAACATGCGGCGGGCATCAAACCACTATTTTGAAGCACAAAAGGGTGCGCCTTGGGTCAGCGTGGAAAGTAGATAGCAGGTCAAAGGGGTGTCCCTTAAAGGTCCCTTGGCGGATGTAGCAAATACCTCTCGCTGAGGTTCTTTAAATGGACGATTGTCTGCTGGCTGCTGGCTAGTCATACAGATTGCGGCCCATAGCCGCTAGCCCACGGAGTCGGAGCCAAGTCCTGCGCTGGAACTTCCTCCACTTTGGTACAGACCTGTTCCTGCAGCCAGTTGACGTGCCTAGTGCTTGAAAAGAGTCAACAATCGTGGTGCCCATTCATCCAAATCAGCGTTTCAGACGGTGCTCACTCATCCTTGAACTGACGGACTTCCATGGCATCCATAGCATCGTTTAGCTTCCCAAAAAACTCTACTAGTCACAAGGACGCTACGAACGGAACAAAGGGCATCGCTTTCTTCACGTAGCAAGAACGCTACTACAAACAGGGCGCTCCTGGCCACTAGGAGCAAGAATCTACTAGTCACAAGGACTCTTCTGAAGGCGCCCGGAACCGAAAAACGACCGTCCTGCGCTGCTCGCCGTGCTAGGGCTGTCCGTGACTCCTGGCGGCCGAGCTGTTGGCAGAAACATGATCCACCAAATGTTTGGTGCAAGTCTGAAGGACTTCAAACTGCATGAGTCAATGAGGGATTGCAAAAGTGTATATATATATATGTAATTATATATACAGTAACTTGATTGGTTACATGCCAAATGAACGATTGAAAACATTGTGGCATCATTGTGGGATGGATTGAAACAAAAAGCATAAATGAATTGCTCCTTATTAAAGGCTACCGGCTCATCTTTAATGAGCAAATACATGGGTTTGGTGAAGGTCATCAGTCGCAAAAGCAACAATACCTCATATCGTAATATATCGGCTCACAAAAAGATAATGACTTCAAGAGGCTGTTGTTCCCAACAGCTTGTTCATCATGTTGCATCTAGTCAATCTAGTCTCACCGCATCTATTGCTTTTTGGGGTTTTCTTCGCAGCATCAAAGCACTCCCAAACGACCAGTTCCTCAACCACATGTTCTCGGGAAAGGCAGCAACAGCCGCTTTTCAGAGAATGCCACACTCCTCTCTGAGAAGACGAGGCCAGTTCCCCCACCACTCAGAAACCACGGGTACTGCGTGTCCTCCACCGCTGCCACTGCTAAAGTGAACCGTGTGGGAGTGGGACGCCGTCATTCCTGGCCACGAAATCATCAATTGTCTGTGCCATGCGAAGCCCACCAAGCTCCAACTGTCCTCCACCGAGGCCGTACATGTCGGATCCTGCCACAGGACAAACAGTGAAGCCAAAAAAACGAGACAGAAAACGAGTTCACAAGATTGAATGTGTCAGAAAATCGGTGACAAGCAAAAAGACCGACTCGAAACTGGCCCAGGTGCACGGGGGGTAGGCTCTTCTGGTGGCGAACAAGCAACACGTATGTGCAAGATCTCCTCCACTGTACTGCACGCTGTGGGACGAGTGGGAGCCCATCATTCCTGCCACGGAAGCTTGAGCTGCCAATCCATTGCAATTGGTTGGACCCTGACATCTGTTTCAGTCAGTTGAGAAAGAAATGCTCCCAGTCAGTTGCCCCTGTATTCATCCTGGTCCTGAAGTAGGTTAACTATGCAACATTGATCCTTTCTTGGACTGTTCAATCGTCCTTTCCACTCATGCATGAATGAGAACATACATCTTGTTGGTTGGCAGAGACGACGCATGACGCGTGATGGTCAGCTTGGGCAATCAAGACTGTCATTTGCAATGTGAAGGGACTGCTCATTTGTGCAGCAAGCTGAGAGCTTTTTTCCAGGCTTTCAAAGGCCAGTGGTTCCAAATCCCCTAGTGGACATTTCCGATGTAGCTGATTCTCCATGATCGGCTTAGCCATGTTGCGGGAATTTCCATATTCCAAATCACGCCCAAATGGTTTCACTACCCTGAAAAAAACCAGCTCTCCTCCACTGCTGTAGTGCACAGTGTGCGAGGAGTGAGAGCTCATTCCTGCCAAGACGTGGAGCGGCATCTGTGCACGTCGAGTCTGTGTCGGGTGAGCTTTGCCAATACCTTCTACAACTTGAAAACCATCCGGAGATGAAAGAGGACACTCTACCAGCTGCATTGATTGAAGATCCACAATGCACCTGACCTTTTTGCCTTTTTCCAACTGCAGAAGGCCCATGAAGGGGAAAATGTTGCTCTACAGGCAGAAGATGTTCGTGTGTGGCTCTAGACAAGGAGCCACTTACCTGTCATGGCATTATCATCAGACTTTCTCAGACACAGTACCACCGTCTGGACATGTCATGACTAGCACAACTCCACTGGCTTGCAGCTTCCCCATTTGGAGATCAACCCATCTATATAATATATATATATATAAAATATGATCCCAGGCCCGCGCCTGGGAATGCACTCGAGCTGGCCTGAATCGGCCAACGATCCAATCCGTGCCTAGTAGTGCCTCCTACAATGCCTACCAAGGAAATCTGGATGTCAGTTGTGTCTCCAAGGTAAATGAGGTCAGAAGCTACGAACGGGGCGAAACTGGCATCGCGACTCGAACGGAGCGATCGGACGCTACGAACTGGGCGAAACTGGCCTTACTACTATAGGAACAAGAAGCTACTATAGGGGCAAGAGTCAGCCAGAGATCGGCAGTTAGGCCAGGAGGCCCGTTCGTAGCATCCTTGCTCCGTTCGTAGCGATGCCCTTTGCTCTGTTCGTAGCGTCCTTCTTACTAGTAGTAAGGCCAGTTTCGCCCCTATAAGGCAAATGAGATTACATAGAATCTCCATGGGCTACTACTCCGACCCTAAGTTATTGCATCCCACAAGCCCAGGGTGTTCCTTTATCCGCCTAAGCACGACTCATCTGTAGGGAACGTGGATTCTATACACAAACAACATCAAACAACTGTTTGGTACATAAAATCCCTTCAAACCCCGATCTGTCTGTGGGAGAGTCCCTCCTATACATAAGTAATTATAAGTAAGTCATAATGCCATAAAATCTGGGTCGAACCCTCTCCAACCCAGGTTCACCAAGGCACATCGAAGAAGGCTTGAGCTCTTCTGGGCTGCGCGCCCGGAGAGGCCTCGCAGGTTGGATCATGCAGCAGAAGACCGTCGGAGGCCTTCACGTTCCTGTTAGAGCTCTTTTCCTTAATCTTACTGCTGAGGCAGAAACGTGCAGCACATTCCAACGGTTCATGCTACAGGACGCTTGGGGCGACACGCTGAAGCAAAGAACCCGACCCGTTTACAAAGATCCTTGCTTTCGGATGCTTAATGCTTTTAGAAACCTTTGTTGCTTTGACTCGCACAACATCATCTATGGGAACACAGCTTTGCCCTGGAATGAACCCAAGAACTTCAAGAACTTCATCGCTGGAGCATCGATGAATAATTACACCAAATTAAAAAACAACTAGTGCCAAAAATTGACCATTGACCATTGAATTGCCTCAACTCCCTGAACACTGCTACACCCCCTCCCCCCGTCCCGCGGTCGCCGATCGTCACCTCGGCTCCGCCGGGTGCCACGACCAGATTCCTGGGCGGTCCGCCAGGGGCGGCACCCGAACGAGCCACGGGCTTCGTAGGCTTCAAGCCACCGGGGATTCACCCAGTCACCACAGCCAGTCGATCTCCGGTTTGTGGCAGTCATTCTACACTTGCAAATCTGAGCGTACAAGTAGCCGTCGTGGCCAGTGGCATCCCAATTGCGACAAAAAGAAATGTGCCAAGTGCCAAGAGTCCTGACATAAAGGCAAACAACAACTGTGGCGACACGTCGCTACACGTCCTCCCCATGCGGTCATGGACATTCTCTGGAAGCTGGACACTCGGCCAAGACGCAGTAGTAGCACCCATCGGCAAACACGCATGGCAATGCCTGGCGAATCACCCGTGGGAGTCCGTCCCGATGGTTCACTCCCACTGCCAGCGAGATGCAGGTGTCATTGCTCGCTTGTTCAGCTTCTCACATGACTCATCGGTTGGAAAACGGGCCTAGAAGGCCCTGTAGATGCACATTCGCTAACTTAGCATGGCCCCATTATGGAGGAAAATATCTTCTATAGACCCTACATTCAGGAATTTCTGGGGGAACTGGGAGGGGTTGTGCCAGAGAAACGAGTTCCACTGAAGCAGGCCCTGCAAAGAGAGATAGAGAGACAAAGAGAGGGGGACAGGAAAAACAAGAGACACAAGAAAACTTGGCCTGTTGCTTCGAGGTATTCTGAAAGGAACACTGATACATTAGTGTGTTTACCAAAAGTAGCAACACAACGCTCCACAAAACGACTTGAAACCAAAGCCAGCTGTTCTAACTCGGTGCGGGAGTCTCTTTACAAGCGGCTTCTTATGTCTTCGCGACGTTTAGTTCCTTCTTGCCGCGTAGTAAACAAAATGCCAAAACAAGCACAGTGGCCCGACAACTGTTTTCTCCACCTTGCTGACGATCGAATCAACAAGCCTTGGGATAATTCCAAAAATGATCAGAGATTGGCGCAAAAACATTCTCGCAACATCAGAAGCAGCAGCTTCTCCACAGTGATCATGCACCGCCCAACCACCCCATCCCTCTGCGTGCACCTCGCTTCCCGCGAGCAAGGCGCCCGCGGGACGCGATGAACCCAATGATCCGCTGGCTACTTTGAGCCAGGACTGGACAGATCGCGCAGTGCGCGTGGCAGGAGCAGACTTGGGACAGCCACAGCTTCACAGACTATTTCTGAAGTTCCTGATCTAACATAGTGTCTAGATCTTGAAGCTTTCAGATCTTTCAGAGATCGGAGCTCCCTAGATAGCCTATTCGACTTGCTCAAGTAAAATCCCATGCAAACGGCAAACGCGGCAATTCACCTGTCAGACCCCGCTAAGGATTCATCATCAAGGTGGAAGGTCTCATGGCTCTGGTCAAGACCAGGCGAGACTCCCTCCGCCGAACTGAACGCCCGGTCTTCATCGATCCGACTGCAAAACACGCGACCTCAAGATGCGCATGAGGACAGGGTTGCTAGGATTTTCGACAACCATGCTAACCATGCCTGGGTTCTCTCATTCCTTCCATCCTCACGGCAAGTCTAGAAGGGCTGGACAGAGACGAGCCTCCGTCCCTATGCTGCAGAAAAAATATACAGTCATATACAGTCGAGGTAAGAAAAAAATATGTGTATATAAAATATAGAGAGAGAGAGAGTAAAAAAATGCATTGTTTCTATGGTGTTCCATTGCCTTGACCCACCCCACAGACGAGCTCGGGCGCAAAGAGATACTCATCGGCTGATGCGGATCCTTCGAGGACCTGGCCACTCGCGGCGGACCGGTGTCTTCGAAGGCAAAGACAAAAAGGTTAGGGGACACCTCTTCTTTGTCCATAGTACCCAAAGAGGTTTGTATCGGTTGAGGATTTGTTGGGATTTGTGAGCTCTTCTTACTCACAATAAGGGTGCTTTTGCGGGAATTTCCGTCGAATTTCTCCGGTGGTCTCCGGCTGACTTGTTCTGGGTTGCTTTAGCTTCCGCAATCGCGTTATATTCATCAAGAGAGGCTTCGATGGTTCACCACCAAGTTCACCACCGATGAACATCGGTGTTCCACCACAACAATCAGAATCAACCAGGAACTAGATTGCATGTGTGAATGTTACTATTGCCACTCCACTCCAATGAACATTTGGCCCTTCCTCCAAGTGAAGGTACCCCTCAGTAGAATATATGGTTCTTGAGACAGGTGGAAAAAATAGGAGCATATGAAGAAACATCATAACAGCCCTATATATTGTCAGTTCAGCCAATGTGTGGGCGCACCAACGACCGGCCCATCTACTGAGGGAAGAGTTCGCGTTGAAACGATCGAACTTTGGTCGCCCTATTCTTCGCCCCTGAATTCCACCCCCGCAACATGCTGAAACTGAATGGTCAAAAATACCTTGGGAAATGGGACATGACCCGACCAGGTCAATGAATAGACATAGGGCTTCCCCCTGGGTCCCATGCTGCCGGCGTGAGCCAACGACATAAGCCAATGACTGAGTGACCAATTGGAACCAAGGATCATGCAGTGGGTAGCTTTGGATGGTGCACCTTTAAGATTCATGCCTGTGTCATGTGTGTCACACCACTCTGAGACTGGTCGGGACATGTACTGTTTGGAGGAGCAAGTCCAAGCCTTAGAGTCTCCAAACAAACCAAGAATCCAGTACATGTTAGATGTTGGAAAAGATGATCTTCACTTGTCTATCTTGGCGTTCGGTTCTTGCATGAAGCCATCAATTTCTCTGGTTCAGCTTGGCTTTAAGGTTTCAGAACCGCACTACATAGACTTCTATCTCCTTCAACCGATGGGCCGTCTTCCAACCGATGTTCCGGGCCTCGGCTGCTTCGGCAAGGCCTCAGTTTCAGGGAGTTCTTTGGCTTCGCTACGGAAAGGAAGAAGTTTTTTGGAGCACCTGACTCTGCAGATCACATCTGCAGGTGTTGTTCTGTTTCTTGGTGTCTTTCATGTGCTGAAAGGGTGCTGAAAGCACCAGCCATTCATGGTCCGAATGGTGTAAATGGCAAGCCATTCATGGCATGCGGAACCACCCCGTCATGGAGACGGGTGAGGGTATCAAAAGCTTCCTGTGAACCAGTGATATTCAGTCATGTCGTATCCTATTTGGAAGCCACCCATGCAAGCAAGAACTGTACCTCCAATCTGGCAACTATACACCCACCCAGCATCCCAAACTTTTCTCCGTTGGCGGCCGGGCTCCATGTTGCAAGCGTGGCACCTGCACCAAACGTTGCGCGCACGCGCCGCATGCGAAATCGGGGGCCGGCACCTCAACCCGGGTTTGGGTGTCAAGTCCGACCAACCGTGGAAATATAACACAAGCATCCTTTGAGCCATGGACAAATGGGCATGGTAATGAAATGCCTTTAAAATATAGAACAAGTGGAAGGTTTTAAATGTTTCTCACATACCATGAGTGACGCCGGAAAGGAGTCATCTACCTCTCTTGAAATACTGATAGTTTGCCTGGTATCTGAATTTGACAGGGATGCGGCCGGGAGGGACTTCTTTCTTTGTTTTGAGACAAATCCGAAGGATGAAGTCTGTGAAGTTTTTTGAAATAGTGGGAGCCCTGATCTGGGCTTGTCACAAGCTGAGAGAGGTAAAATATTTAGAGTATATATATAATATACGTATAATATACATAATATAGTGAAACAGGTAAGAGATGGAGAAGTCGGTTGCGATGGATCAACACAAGAGATCTGACGGACCAAGAAAGTGGAAACTTTGGTTGTTGCCTTGGTACCACTCTAAACCCCCCCAACGTTGCGCTACAGGCTCAAACCTGGTCCCAAACACATGGCAGGCACCATGATCTAAAACCACGGAGTGCCAAGAAAAAGGACATCGACAAACCTGTAGCTCCATGGTCTCTGCAGTTCTTGCCATCTTCATCTATCTTCATGTTGTGGTGGCTCATGAGGCGTTCGCCAGGACATGCTGTCAGAAGAACGATCAACACCAGCCCGGGACCATGCGGACATATGCGGACCGTGCGCCTTGCGTGCCATAGCGGCACAAAGGTGTTTTGGGGGGTCGGTCAAAGACGAGAATGGGGTGCCAAGAAGCTGAGTTTGAGGTGAGAGTTCACCGTGATCCTCGTGATCGAGCAAATGATCTTAGGGCCTGGGAATCATGATTTGAGATGCGTATGCCCTCTTTGTTGGGTTATGTCAACTTCGGTTCTGGATCTCACCTGGGAGATAGCATTGCGTTCTGGCTTCTGACATGACAGTGAGATGTCGAGAAATATGATCATCCAAACGATTCTTTGCTTCAGTGAACCACCTCCGCCAAGTCTGTTTGCTTCAGTGAAGTGCCTTCGTCTGTCTTTCCGACCCCGGTGGCGAGCGAGCTTCTCAAAAGGATCGCTACCACACCGGCGACGGAGAGTTATCCGTGGAAGATCCCAAGGAGGTCCAGAGACACGTGGCAGTCTCTTTGGTCACCACTCAGCACCAGATTTGCTGCTAGCTGCCGGCCATCAGGATGCTACAAGAAAGGATACAGTACATTTCAAAAAAGGAAAGACCACCAGAGCGTGTGAATAACCCTCCATTTGAGTGAGTCGAAGTGTATGAATGTTACTCGATGCTTAATAAGTCTCAGTGTGAGTCCTGAAAACATGTGTCACCAAGCCGCGTCAACTCGCGAGTGAGCCATAGGACCATGCTGCCTAGAGAGATTTCTGTAGAGCCCTCCAGGACTGAATCTCTTCACCCGGCACCCTCCCATCCGCACCCTGCGCCGCTTCTTTGAAATCTGTGAATGTAAGAAATCTCAGAGCCTTCCAGCCGGTTGCATAAAATCCCGACCCGCGTAACTCTTGAAGGATATAACTGACCACACATGATCACAGCGCGGCTGCGTGCATGCTGCAACGATTCCAGACCAGTCGGATATCTTGGGGATTGAATCCACATCGGCATGTTGTCAATTGTTCAAAGGCACAGGGGGATGGTCAAAACAAGAGCAGATTCATACATCAACCCTCTGACATCCCAGAAAACATGAGGCAGTGAAATACATCATGTGTCTCTGCATATCACGCACTGTCGCCCGAGCGCAAGCTATGTGGTACTCATAAGGGAAGAGCGTATGCTGTGACTCTTCCATCTTCTGCAATTCCAGAAAGAACGGTCGAGATTTCGGAGTGTACCCTGCGTAGCAAGAGGAGCCCGGTGCTTGGTTTGTGGAGAACAAAGCAGGAGAGGTGCACGTCCCATGTGTTTTCTCCCGTCCCCATGGGTGTCCTGAACGTCAACATCTACTGCACCGGGAAGGAGAATGCTCCACATCCTCCAACCCAATAGGCTATTGGCAATAGCAGTGGCACCCATCTGCGGCATCATGCGGCCCGCAGAAAAGGCCACATCCGGACCACACCGCCATCCCCTCGGATGTGCCTAAGTGCCTTGGGCAACCATCCTCCCCAAGGTTTTACAAAGGATTCCCTCACATCCCAACACCAAGAAAAAAGAAGAGGTGAAATCACAAGGAAAATCCTAGGATCCTCCAGTTTTTGCCTAAGAAATCATAGGAACTTGTACTTGCTAGAACAGAGCACCACTGATCGATGAAGGTGGACTCCCTCACTGCGGGGGACCATATACTCATCAAAACGATACAAACTGGTCGACCTCGGTGCTTCGACGATCGTCCTCCAGGTACCCATCCCCAAACCCGGCCGCGGTTTGGCGGGGACAGAACCCCGTCCCAAGGAAGGGCAGGGGAGGAACAACTCTTGATTCATCACGAGTGAATCATCTTCCTCTTTAAGGTAAGGTCATTTCTAGTGGACGACCATGTCTCACTCTTTGGCCAAAATGATCTGTCCAGCTCCTGAGCTCCGCAAAGCCCAATCGTTCAGCCCAGAAAAAGATAGAAAAAGCAGGCTGCAGAGGCGCTATCGCTGCTAGTAGCGACGGCCTCCACCCTAGTAGCGATGTCCTCCGCAGTCTGGAAGGGAATGATGCCGTTCGTATCGTAGGAAGCTCGACTCCGGAAGTTTGTTTCAACGACCGTTCTCCCCGAGGACGTGGAACTGCACGCCAATTTCAGTGGCAATGCACCACCAAATTTCAGTGTCACCTGCCGTGACCTGGGCGAAGCTTCCATACGGGATGGGTAGCTTCTCGGAAGCCCTTCTGTGCCGACCACGTGGAGGGGCTCCTGTTCGCCCGCCAATTGACCTGCAGAGCTACCTCAACAGAACTGACTCACCCGGGCAAGATCCAGCATGGTGAAAACGGAGGACAACAGGTGAAAATCCACTTCGTAGACCTTCGTAGACCCTTCGGTGTGTGAATTCCATCGGATCATGGAGGATGGCTCTACCTACATCGGGACGTTCCTCAAGCCAGACGTGCCCGGGTTGGTTCCCGGTCGTCCCGGTTCCGGTTCCGTGATCGGAACCGAAGGACCACAACTCGCGGAAGTGGAAGGCGAGTTGAAACCACAAAGAGGCTATAAGACCTTTATGTGAGTGATCGGAAATTCCAATTACACATACATTCCTGAGTGGGCAGGTTTTTTTTTGTTGTTTCTATTATTCTTTATTTTTCGGAGTGCACTTTTGTTGGAAGTGTTGACACGAATCGCCTTCTGACTTTTCTTTCCCTTCGACCCTATAATTATATAGGTGTATACCGCTGTATACTTGTTAATATGACCCTCAGATCGTTTCATGAAAGTCGGGGGTTCTACGGAGTCTGGAACCTGGACTTCAAGGAGCAAG